GTACTGCAGGCAGCTGTTATTAGGGGAGAAAAAAGTCTTTTATCCACTTATATTTAACAAAATAAGGATAAATTATCTTAAAAAGCATTTTCTATTATGCTTTGGTTGGTATTTTTTGTTAAACAAATGTTTATTCAGAGATACTGTTTTTTTCACAGTAAGCATGTTAAACCCCTAATAATAATAAAAAAATATATAATTTCTGTTGGGGAAAAAAATATCAAACTCTCACTGTGTGTTTGAACTAATGAGTCTCATCCATTTATTAAAAAAGAAATATATATAAAAATAAATCTTACAGCGCCCCACGACTGGGGCTTATGGAAGAGAATTAGGGCGACTGGAAACATTTTTTTTTATATTTTATTTCAGTTTAGTATGGGAAAAAAGTCAGAATTCTGACTTTTTTCTCATACTAAACTGAAATTAAATTTTAAAAACTGTTAACTTTTTTTTTTTTTCGTGGCCCTAATCCTCTTCCATAGGGGCTGCCTCACAGTTTCTTCACAAAAAGTTTTTTTAAATATTCAAAACATTTTTTTCTCTATTAAACTCAGAATGAGAAAAAAGAATACATTTACATTAAACTCAACTGATATTTCTGAGAAAACGATGCTCTTATTTCAAACAAATAGAAATGCAATGAGTAGCGCTAACTCTCCAGTTACATGCACCCCATGGTATAGTTATTTAATGTCACACACTTGATTTGAGATCATCACCTGAACCGGTCTTTTCTGTAAATTCTTTAGGGCTTCTTTTTTTTTATTGTTCCATATTGTACAATGTATTCACAACTTGGAGAAAGAAGTAAAGGAAAGTATTTTAAGGAAAAACCAAGATCTCTTCTCTGAGAAAGATTTGGCCATAATATTGACTTTCATTAAATCTAAAATCGGTCAACTCAAATCGACATATAAATCTTTTGTGTTTATTCTATTTGGCTGCAGCAGAAGCCTTCAGCAATACGGAAAACAAAGTTGAACAGAAAACCTCAATATTAGGTCAATAAGTGACAAAAGAGTTGCAAAAAAAAGACAGAAAAAATATAATTTTTAGATGTGTGTGTTTGCTACCGTTTTAGGCATCATAGTGTGGAACATTTGAACCAAAGTGAGGACATTTTTCTGGTCCTCACATCAATTTCTGCTAAGGTTTGTTTGGTGTGAGTTTAGGATAACGGTTACGGTTAGGAATGCACTGGTAATGGTTAGGTTTAGCGTTACAGTCTGGGTTTGGGCATAGAAAGGGTTTAAAGCGGCTGAAAATCAATGAGTGTCAACACACGGCCTCCACTACATGTAGCAAGACCTGAATGTGTGTGTTTGTGCATTAGAAAAAGAGCCGTGTTTACAGCCGCTCTCTCAGCCTTGGCGAGGACACATGTGACTAACAGAAGGGTAAATGTTTAATGTTATCCATCAACATGATGTGGGAAAACAGAAAGCATCTGTCCAGCAACACGGAGCGAGATAATGAGACGGATGGAAACATTCCAGATTAGATAGCAGAGATTATGGTGACGTATGGGTATATACCTAATAAAGCATTCTTATGCTAAAACGGATTTTTTAATTCTCTTAAGCATTGAAAGCAAAATTAAGTTTGAAACAATATTGATTTTTAATTTCTCTAATGGCTTCATTCCTGCTTTCCTTCATCCATCCTTTACTAAATCTGTCACCCTTATAATACAAACTCTACATTGAAATCCTGAATGATGTGGAATTATTTGAATATTCATTTCATCTTCATATACGTCCATTTTAGTTAACCTGAAATATTTGCAGGAACAATGAAAGAATGTCATCCTGAATGAGATTTTTGATGTTTCTCTTTTTTTAACATTGAAACTAAAACTGCAAAAACTACATATTGTAGTTTAAACTTTAATATTCGTGAGAAAGCATAATGTCCTGATCTATAGAAGTTAAAAACACATTTTTATTATTATTAATATTATCATTATTATTAAAATGATTTAGAAAGGATGATGACCCCAATGTAAAAGTTTGTGTTTCTAACAAACCATTGCAAATTTGTTTGGTGAATACTCAAAAATGGAATGAATAGATCAAAAATGGCGACCCAGCATGGCGTCTTCCATTGGATGCACCGCCCCCTACGTAATTATAAACTACCGATTATAACCCAGGAGAACATTTCAGTTTTGATGTTATGTTATTAGACTTTTGCAGAATATGTATTTATTAAATCAATGCTTGATTTTTTTTTTTTAATAAAAAGCCAAGCTTGTTTCACACCGTCCCTTTTAACATGGTGGTGGCAGCGTGATAGGTAGACATCCTTTTTGCTACTGGATCAGAAAAACTTTGTTGAAGAAAATAACTTATCAAGAAGGAGGTTTAGCTCTGTGATCCTAAACCTAAGTACATCAGGAAAATAATCAGCTAGTCCACCTTTGCATTGGTGGAAAATATTTAGGTTAATAGCATCTTATTGAAAAAAGAAATTGGGGTTAAATATGCCTTTTATTTTGGGCTGATGAAGCAATTAGCCTTCATATAAGATAGGTCAACAAGACTTTCAAAAAAAATCACTCTTACTCTTCACTGCAAAAACGAAAAAGTTAGTTCAACTCAAAATTTCAAGGCAACCGACTGCACAGAATTTTTGAGTTGAAGGCATCAACTTAATTTTTTAAGTTTTGTAGAACTACACTTATAAAGTTGTGTCAGCAAGTTCTGCCAACTAAGTTTTTTTTTATTCAAGTTCCTGGAACTTTCAAGACTTATTATTTTAAGTTAAGATTATCTGTAAAAAGTTATTTTAAATTCAGATTAC